GTCTGGTTCTGACTCGTCACTGTCGTTTTGTTGCCCGAGTCGTCCTGCTTTCCGAAGCATGGTCACGAAAAAGTTGGTACAAGATGTAATGATGGTACTCGTCAAGTATGTGGGTAAGTGCTCTTTGTCCTATCCTCTTTCTATCGAAAAACTACTTGATGAATAGAAGGACTTGCAGTTCGAACCGACGAGAGTAACTAAGTGTGCCATCAAGTACACCATTGAAATCATTCCCGGAAGTAGAATTCCCAAGGGACCCATTTACCGAATGTTTCCGAGGGGATTGGAAGAACTCGCGAAACAATTGCAAGAACTTACCGAGAAAGGATGGATTCCCTACAACGCACATGTACTATTCGTGCCCCAAAAGGAAGGAGAACTTAGATTGTGTATTGACTATCGAGGATTGAATTCCGTAACCATAAAGAATGGGAAACCCCTTCCTCAAATTTACAACCTTCTTGATCAGTTGCAGGTTCAGCAAGATTGATCTAAAGTCTGCCTACCACCAGATGGAGGTGGCACCTAAGGATCAACACAAGACGGCATTCCGGACTAGGTAAGAGCACCTTTCGGCCTAACTAACGCCCCAACAACCTTCCAACGGTCTATGAATGAACTATTTCGATAGTGGTTAGACCATTTCATAGTTAAGTATCTCAACGATATCCTCGTCTATAGCAAGACTTTGGAGGATCATGAGAAACACCTGCGGATGCTTCTACAAAACCTAGGAGAAGGTAACTACAAAGTGAATCCTAAGAAGTCATAATTTGCTAAATATGAGTTACTTTATCTTTGACATAATAATAAATGAAGAAGGGCTAAGGCCATACGAAAAGAAGATTACAACAATTAAAGATTGACTCAAACCCAAAATAGTCACAAAGTTGCGATCCAATATAGGACTTGCTAGCTATTATAGGAAGTTCTTAAGAAACTTCTCCCTTATAGTTGCACCTATGAGACAATCACTAAAGAAAGAGAAACCTTGGCTATGAGACAAAGATTGTGAGTCGGCGTTCTAGAAACTAAAGTATGCTCAAACTCATTACCCTGTCTTGAAAATTGTTGATCCATCTTTTCCTTTCATTGTCACGACTGACACTAGTCAATATGGGATTGGAGTTGTGCTACAACAAGACGATGGGAAAGGATATAAAATCGTCGAGTTCATGTCTAAATGTCTATCGTTATATAAGGTAGCTGACTCCACCTATGAAAGAGAATTGTATGCCTTAGTTGAAGTGTTGAACACCTGGAAGCACTACTTGCTCGGAAGGCTCTTCACGGTCTACTCCGATCACTCGACCCTAAAGTGGATCAAGACGCAACCTCGACCATCCGACAAGTTGGTAAGATGGTTTGCATTCATCGACACCTTCGACTTTGAATTGAAAACCATAAGAAGGAAGTCTAATGTTGTCGCTGATGCCTTGTCCAAACATTCTGATTTCTTTGGTGCTATTGTTATCTACTTAGATATCGGGACTGAGTTGAAAGACAAGATTCAACAAGGGTACGCAAGGGATCCTATCTGGAGTCCTATCATCCAGACCCTTCAAGGAAATCCTTAACTCTTTCCTGATTACTGCATGTCTGATGGCATACTCTTCTTCATTGACCGAACCAAAGAAAAAATATGCATTCCACACAAAGAAAATATTAAAGCATCGCTATAGGCGAATGCCATGACACTGAAGGGCAGGGCCCAACTATCGGTCGCAGGGCTTTCCCGTTAACGCGCCGCACCTTTAGAGCTTCGGGGTACCGGACCTCAATGGCTGAAGGCGCCAGCCAAAACAAATTTGAAACGGTACCCCCACGGTTCGGCGAAAATCGGCGCGCGGGGGCATTCCAAGCTCGACATCGATAGTTGGGCCAAGTATTGGTGGTTTAACAAGACGTTTGCTAATGTACGAGAATTATTTGAATGGCAAGGAATGAGAGAAGATGTACTAACCTATGTGAGAACTTGTCTTGTGTGTCAGAGAAATAAGGCGCCTCATGAGAATCCATGGGGATTGCTCATACCACTCCCTATTCCGAATGGACCAGGTAAGTCTATTTCACTTGACTTTATGAGCCTCATAAAGAACCGGAATGGGAACAGTCAGGTGATGGTCATTGTTGATAAATTCTCTAAGTACGCCCATGTTAACTCCTTTACCATCTGAAGCTAGAACAAAACTCGTCATCCAAAAGTTCCAGATGTGATGGGTTTCCAAGTATGGATTCCCCAAAACCATTGTATTTGCGGGATGTACGGTTCACAGGTCAATAGTGGCAAAATTTAAAGGAACTCTATGGCACGAGGATGACCATGTCGTCAGGTAGACACCTTGAAATAAATGGCCAAACTGAGCAAATGATTTGTCCATGCCAACAACTTTTGCGGATATACGTTCGACCAGACCAAATTGATTGCGATGAGAACTTACCAAAAATCGCGAGTGCATATAACAACAATGTGCACACTGTTACGGGCAAGACACCCAATGCATTGCACAAAGGTTGGAAGCCGAGATGCCCTATAGACACTCTAACCAGGGAACATGTCCACAGGCTACCCACACATCCAAAGGCTACCCCCAAGCACAAAAAAAATTCGAATTTTGTACGAACCTAGGCTACCAGCCGCGGCTGGCCAGCCCGTGCAAGGACAAGGGGAGGTCCCAGCAAAAAAAAAAAAAAAAAAAAAAAAAAAAANAAAAAAAAAAAAAAATCGAAAAAATACGAAAAAAAACTATGTTATGCAGAAAAATAAACTGAATAACTTTTGCGTCAGGGGCACATCGAAATTCTTTACCAAATTTAAAATAAAAAATAAAATTTAAAAATAATTTATTATTTTTATTCTTTATGGCCCGGCCGGGCAAGTGACCCCGGGCCACTCTGGTAGAACAAGATATTGCCAAAGTCGAAGAAAAAATACGAATAACCCAAACCCAAATGACTGAGCAGATGAATAAGCATTGAAGACCGGCTCAATTCAAAGAAGGTGAATTGGTATGGGTCAAATCGAACGAGTTTTCTATTGAGGAAGGTGCATCTAAAAAATTGCTACCTGTCTACTACGGACCCTGGAAAGTTCTCAACGTGATAGGGGATACAGAGGGACCGTCATATCGCATTGACTACCCCCTCACCTCAAGAGATATCTTGTCTTTCACGCGTCTAAACTGCTACCCTATGTCGAAGGACATGGTTTCCTAACAAACCTTCTATGATTCTGCCTTCGATGAATGGAGGGTAACAAGTCGAAAGAATAATTGAACACGGTTTCTTCTCAACAGGTGGACGAGGGAGACCAAAGAAGTAGTATAAAGTAATCTTCACTAACCAACCCGGATCAGAGGCACGCTGGTTCAGTTAGAAAGAGCTACTAACCACTGCACCTGGCATTGTCGCAGCATATCAACGAGCGTTAAGAGAATGCCGAGCCTAAAGAGAATTTATTTATGCGATGGAACTCGAAATTGGGCTGCGTGGAATGCAATAACTCATCTCAAATCTGCATTAGTCGAGGCGTAAGCCGTCACTTTTGGTCAAAGGCCTGCAACAGGGGGCAAAAGTCATGCCCTAAGTCCCGGTAATGCCTGGACGAAGGCATGATGCCCAGGGGTACCCAGGGCAAGGTCAAAACCGGCCTCCAGAGGCCCTATGTGCAACAGCTGACCCTGGGAAAGTCAACATTCCACCCCAGCTCCGGAATCCAGACCCTGAAGTCAAAGTCCACCCGCTGGACAGCCGCGGCCATGGATCGGATGCACATCATTGGTTGTCCGCAGGTATCCAAAAGAATCCACTCCAAATGGGACACGGAGGAATATGCAACTGTACGACATCCAGGCCATTGGCTGCGGAGAGATCTGGGGGGTAACACCCAGGCGACCAGAGGCTGGTCAATTTGAGTCAACCTATAAGTTGACCCAGCCCCTCCTGTCGTGCATTCAGTCTTTGTTCGTTCATCTTGATGCTGGCTTGAAGCCAGTGCGACGATTCAACGCTGCAGAAGCTTTATGCTGGCGCCATCTTCTACGTGCGGGCGACAGCCGTCAGGGCATTATGCTGACGTGGTCGTAGCCACATCGATTCCGACATTGATGGAATGCGGGCGAGGAGGAGGATCTGGACTGTGAGATTGGTTCGATTGTTGGGGGGAAGCTTGCCTGGACGAACCTGTGTCGACACGTGTGCTTCGCTGATCGTCTCCAGGAGGAAGATCTGCACCATCCTCCGTGGCCGGTGCTGATGTGGCTGGAGGAAGTGCGCCCTGCTGTGACCTGCTTGTTATCAGAGATCGTCAGGACTGATTGCTGACGTGGCAAATTGGGGAGTAATGGCCGAAGAGGAAGTGGGCTAGCAAGGGTTTCTCTGCTTCCTGGATGTCGGTGGAAACTCTCTCCTCCTCGAAGTCTCTTTCCCCTCTCTCCTCATTCTATTCTCTGACTTCGAGATATCAGGATACCGCATGTATGACGAGTATGGTCACACAAACGATTTTGGAGACATTGATTCTGCGCTATGACAGATGTGTATTTCAACATACACGAGCTTCTCATCTGACTGCGTTCATTGCAAAGTCGAACTCCACGTACAAAACATGACCATGACAGACTTTTTTCATTGGGCTTTTGCACCAACTCATCTGGAAGCCAGACCCGAAAGGTGTGTCTACGAAGCATTTAGCAACACACTTGAGAGAAGTTGTCCCACAAGCGCGTGCTCTGGAGGGGCCGCGTGAGGAGGGGAGCAGAGGTTGGGAGAGGGAGGGGGAAGGGGAAACGTACAAAAAAAAGGGGGATGGCGATGAAATGGAAAATTGATGGAGCAATATACTTGAGAGAAGTGGTCCCATGCACGAATGTCGAAGAGGTGGGGGGGGGGGGAAGCACGGGAGAGRGGGRGGCRGGGGGRGRGGGAGGGGGAAGGGGAGGAGTTGGGAAATGTACAAACCACTAGGGATGAAGCCGACGGAGCTGAAAGGAACATTGGTGGAGATAAACAGGCATAAAGGAATGGCCAACTGGGGCTGCAGGCGTAAACAATGTACATGCAGGGTGCAGGATCATCAAGCAGCCAATCCATGTAAGAAGCAGCATGCAGCTAGCCAGCACTCACTCAGAGGGCGATGGCAGCTGGATGAACCACCAGCAGATTCTTCAGACAGCTCCCTGAAAAATTACCTATCACCAGGAAAAATCAGGATCTGTTTCAAAACAAAAAAAAATACTGTACGAACACTGACAGACCGCAGTAGATTGTACATCTCCTGCTTCTTACACTTGACAGAAAAACGACTGGTCACTTATTTCCCTTGCTTTGCTCCAAGAAGAAAATGAAGCGTAAAAAAAAAAGAAAGAAGAGCGTGATGAGGTATATCTTGGCAACAACAGTTCAAAACGAAATAGTTCGGAACTTTGATCTATGCTAAAGGGAAAGGGAAAACAAAAATCAAAATTCCCAAACTAGCAAGAAATACTACGTAGGGTATGTGCTAGTGCTTAGCCAATATCCATTTCTTAAATTCTCACCAGGCCCTGAATTGTCGTAAAGAATATTACAAACTTGAGAAAAAATTACAACCCTTCTTGACTTCCCACTGCTGCTTCCTTTCTCTCACCGAACCCCCTAGAATTCGGCGGGGATTGCGCGGCGACCCCTGATCCTTTAGAGAGGCCTGGAAGCCTCTCTGGCAATAACAGTAACCGTCCACGGCCCCTTCTTGCTCGGATCAGCTCAGCCCTTGCGGCCTTGCGATCAACGTCCACGCCACCCTTTGCGCCTTTTTTTTGCAACTCCTCATCCTCTTCGGATGCTTCGAATGCTTCCATAGCCGCCATCTCGGCCATTTCTTTCGCCTTGTCGCGCTCGCTCTCCGTAGCCGCCAGGGCTATCTGTTCCCGAAGCGCCTCATACCTCTGCATCACATCTTGTCGCCTGACTCCCATGCAGTGGGTTAACACAATACGCACATAACGAAACCAAAACGTCAAAGGCTAGACTTTTCCTCCCATCAAACAAGCTCGAAAGAGTCAAAACAAACAATCGCCTCTCATGACGTGGTCACACTGCCGCTAACATTTGGTGCTCTTACTAGAGAAGCATCCAGATCACAACGATGGTATCCCAACAAATACCACTGCATCGTGTCACCGACTCTGTTTTCTGGCGCGAGGGCTTACCCACCCAACTTCTTTTTTCCCTTTTTGCTTTASTGCAGGGGCCATGCTAATCTTCTCTGAATCARTCCAATTTTAACGGACGTCCCAGAGGACGTGGCAAACTTTGCGCCGAATTTCTTTCTTCTTTCTRAATGAAAAGTTGCACACACACAGCATCCACGGAAGAAACTTTGAGTAAAGCAGCAGTGGTTTCGAGCCTCATTCTCCCAATGGCTGGATTTTGCCTGCTCCTGGAGCACCGAAGCACTGCACTGACTGCAGGAGTCGGACCTGGCTGTGGCGTCTATATGCGTTGCATTTGTGCCATTATATTCTTGACCATGAAAACAATTTTGTATATGATTTTTAAAACGTGTTCCCCTTATTCAGCGGAGCGAAGTGGGGACACTGAAAATTTTACGCCCCCTCCTTGGGAGCACCAGCCTCCGGTACACCGCGCCTTATTATGACCCCACTGTTAACCGCCGGGAGCGCGCAGAAAGGCTGGGCCACCCACAGATAGTTAAGACCGCGACTCCAACAGCCCCAGCACTGTTCATTTTTCTTGTCTACAAATACCGGGCCAAAATTTACAGTGCCCAGGAGGGGAGGGGTTACCGCAATTATTACTCCTCGCCGTGGCACTGAAGATTTTAGGTTTGGGAAATGCAACTTTTGGTTTAGGCCCGGATGTAGTGGTTTAAATTAACACACAATTCCACCTTCTAGAAAAACCTTTGAAGTTCCATGCATTGCCAGCACTTTGCACAAATCGAGGGGCGCTCAGTGGCTGGTTCCCTCCTGACCTAGATTCACACCTGGATCCACAGAAGCTGACAGAGGCCACACCGACTGACACTACGAGCACATTTTGCCCTAGTGTGCCGACGCAGGCAGATTCAATCGGAAAACCCAGCCAGCGGCTGTTGCCCACCTGCAACGGGATCGACAGCAGACTAAGGCCACACTTGCACTGCATCTATGCAATGACTTGCTGGGTCCAGGTTGCCTGTAGCCTCTCCTGACGAGGCTGTACCATAGGTAGGGACAGATTCGTAATTTTGTTTGGCTGAGGGCNCTGGGTCCAGGTTGCCTGTAGCCTCTCCTGACGAGGCTGTACCATAGGTAGGGACAGATTCGTAATTTTGTTTGGCTGAGGGCTAACCGAGAGACCTACCTGTAAGGAAAATTCGTGAGGGACATATTTGTAAATATAGGAAATATGGGCCCAGTACTAACTCGAATTTCCTACAGCTACCCTAACTGCGAATAGCAGGCCCGGACTACCCCTAGGACAGACAGGCCCAATGGGCCTACGCTGACCGGTCTAGGTCGGTCAGTCAGTCCGGTCTAGGTCGTGTCCAGGCTAGTTTAGGGTATAGATAGGATGGGGACATCGGTCCTGGGCTTTTGGCAGTTGACACTTCGTGGTGGAAGTTGCTGCGGACACGGTATCAGGTCGTGGTTGCTGAATCCGGTGTGGGAGACGGCGGACATAGCCAGACCTTCGGAGCACTGACCAGACTGAGGTCAACGCTGTCCGCTCTGACTCTCTGGTAGTCAAAGCGGTCTGGGCTATCAGAGGGCTGATGTGTTGGAGCACGTGGTGCACTGCTGACCCTCCTCAGGAGTGGGGTCCCAGTGGCCATGCAGCCATAGCTCCATCTTCTCAGAGGATATCATCGTCTGGACTTCACCTTCATCAGGGACTGTTGACGCTGAGCTTCTTCATCATCATCTGGGTGGCGATTGGCTCTGGGAGCCTGTTTCATCTTGGCGCAGGCCAATGAGTTGGATGTCAGGGTGGCCCTGGGTGTTACCTGGGGTTCTGGTGCTATTTTTAGCTGCTCGGTGTGTGTGGGGTTGAGGCGCTACCCCTCTGAGGGTAGTGCAACAGGGATCTGAGGTTATTCAGGGAAAACGATGCTCTGAGTTTAATAAACAGTTGTATTACTGTGATTGAGTTGTCATCTCTTCATTGATTTCTGGCTGTGATCACTCGGTTGTCTTCTACGAATGATTGTTGGGACTTGTGTGGAGAGAATCCACAGTTTTGTGTGTTCTGTCACTTCGCTCCTCTGAGTCTTCCGCTGCATTCCTTTTGTTGGGCGGTGTGACACTCCACAACCTCTCCCCTTCCTGCTGTGCATGTATGCGCGTGTACGGGAGTTCCTGTGAGTGAGCGTTGATAAAATTTCAACGGACAATCATGTTCATAACAGTTGGTATCAGAGCAGATCGGACCCAGACAGTGGCGAGATGATGGACTGAGGCAACCATCACTACCTGAGAGCTTCTGAAGTTGGGTTTCCTGTTGGAATCGCATCTTCAGTACTGCGCTCAGTAGGGTGTTGGTGAGGAGTGTGTGGCGGTCGGTATGACACAAAGATTGGTGGCGATTCAGTGCTCAGTGACCTGGGAGGCACTGAGGGGCTATTTTTAGCCCATGCGTTGACCCTGCTGGTGGCGAGATACCTGGGGGTATGTCGAGTTTCAGATACAGTGAATCTGATTAGCGGGGAGTAATCGCCATATCAAGAACTACCGTATCACCAAGTTTCAGGAGATTTGGAACGTGGGAGCACCAGGAACAGTGAATTGAAGAAACTGGCGAGATGGCAGCCATAGCCAGTTCAGCTTCTTCTTCCAGTGTTTTGACCTGAAGTAAGTGTGTTCCTTACTCAAGTCTCTGTAGCGAGTCTGATAGTTGTAACTAGACTGGGGATATTGAAATTGTACATCTGTAGACAGTAAAAGTTGAAAATCGCATTGCCTGACAGCCATAGCTCTTTCCCCTACCTATCTACTTTGACTTCTACTGACTCTGTTTGACCTCCTCTCTGTCTCAAATTGCATCTCTGACTATACTATAGTATTGCGATTCAGTACATATAGTGAAGTGAGTAGTTCAGGGTCCGGATGTCAGTAATAATGAAATTCTGAATGTTGCGCTGGCATAGCCAGTGCTTGGGGCAGCTAGGGTTTGTTATATCTCAGGTTCTGTCCGTCAGAATTTCAGTCTGTCAGTCACCCTCAAATCGCAATTCAATATTGAGTCAGTGTCTGAAAGCGCTCTACTGGATTTGATGGTTTGAGTCAGGTACAGTGATATTTGTACTTCGCCGCACCTATAGTGGGGCATACAGGGTCCAACAGTGCTAGTCTCAGTAGTAGGAGTCTAAAAATAGCTTGATCAGTCATCCGCTGCATCTTGGTTGACTACTGGGTTCTATTAATTGCTACTGACTCTCTGCGCTATTCCGACCTTCTGCTTACAGTCCGAGGTTGCATCCTGTCTAACTATCTGACATCGATTCTGGAGTTATTGTACGCAGATGAGGGTTTTGGGCTGTGAATGAAAAATCGCAAGCTGGTTTTATCTGGAATTACCCTAAACGGACCCAGAATAGCCCTCAGCGGCCTACAGAGGCTGAGCGCTCTTTTGCCTAATTCACCACGTATCTTCTCATCAGGTGGCAGTGATTACATCGGTGGTTGTGTGTGTAATCTTAATCTCTGCTAACCTCATTTCTGTGAGTCTGTATTTATTGACTGGTTGAGCGGTTCATTCTGGCTGACGCTGAAACGAAGATTGAGGGAGGAGAAACTTCCACTAACCCTCCTCAGGTTCCTCTCTCTCCCCTGGAGCAGGCTCTGCTTGAGGCTGAGCAGGCTTGCCTCAAAGCCGAGGCCCAGATCTAGCTGTTGAAGAAGGCGATGGAGGAAGCTCAAGAGGCTAGTATAAATGAAGAGAGAAGGAGGCAACTACGTAAAGAGGTTGAAAAGGTTGTCACGAGTGGTACCTCCAGCCAGTACAGTAAGGATACTGCTGAGTTGGTGTTGTTAACAGACACCATCAACAGGTCCTGCTTTTCTAACTGGGACCAGCGGATACTCGCGCTCGAGACCCAAGGTGCTGCCATCGACCGTAAGGTTGATAAACTGGCAGCAAGCCTAGAGCCCCTGACTGTGAGTGCGAACAACATTCTGCAGCACTTGCACCTACCTGTCCCTCCTCCCCAACCTCCTCAACCTTCTCCAGCGCCTTCTACACCATCTCACAGTCGGCCATCTTCACCTGCTGCTTCTCATGTGTCCACTACCCCTGCCCCCTTTGGCACATCTGATCAGCGGCAGCCCAAGCTGACGCCACCTCCTATGTATTCTGGGGAGGACCCCAAGGTGGACGTTTCAGATTGGGTTACCGCTATGCACGCGTACCTGGGCAGCTTCGTTTGTCCAGAGGTGACAAAGGTAGGGATTATTCTGGGTCGTCTGGAGAGGATTGCACTTAAGTGGTGTACATCCTCTGCAGCGAATCAGATCTGCCCATGGACAAATGGGCACAGCAGTTGAAGGTGAAGGGGTTGCTGCAGGCCCTGCGAGACCGGTTTGCAGACAGGGAACAGGCCCGAAAAGTAGTAGATAAGATACTGCTGTTGGGTTCACGTAGGTTCGACGGTTCCCTGTCCAAGCTCTACAGTTTGTTTGAGAGCTTGACTGCTACACCCGGTCTGGAGATGAGTGAGTCTGACCAACTCACTCACTTCCTGCGCGCAGCGCCTCCAGACTACTCCATTGCTCTTTATTCTCAGGCCCATAAGGCCTGGAGGTCCTTTGGCAAAGCGGCCCTGGACCTGGAGTCTCAGCTCAAGGTTCAGGAACCTTCTGATGGAAGGAGGAGACCCTCTTCCAGGGGACAACGTAGGAAGAAGGGTGCTCTGTTGGCTGCTGATGCGGGATCTGATTCTGATGCATCTCAGCGTGGCAGTCCTC